TATACCCGCGTCATAGACTCCGGGGGTCGCCCATTAATACTGTGACCTGCTACCTTGAACCAACTTGACCTTGGATTTTCTTTCGCTCAGTCGACAAAACTAGACAAGATGCGAAACCTGGCCAAATTTTAGTTCACAACTCCAAACGGTTGCTGAGATATTGCCAACTTTGCACTTCGGCACCTGCCATAGGGCTAGGGCCCGTCCAAGGCCCGTACGAGGGGCCATTTAGTGGTCCCATTATCCAATAAAATGTACTATTCTGGCCCTCTTTTTCTTGTTAACAATGATCATCAGTGCCTACTCTATCATTTAGAGTGATTTTTACTTAGTGTAAGGCTTGTTTACGGCAAAAAGGGGGGGGGGTGAACGCGGCTTCGGGGCGGTGGCACTTCCCTACTAAGTCCCATAGTTAAGCATAGGCGGCGGTCATAGCGGGCCGTTGCCATGGCAACGGGGGTCTGACGGTGAAACAAACTGGTACATTTTAAGTGAGTCTACGTCAGTACTTGGTATACCAAGAAAATTTGGTCGAAAATACCGCTGCTTGGAATTAATGGCCAATTCCCGTGTCTATTGAAGGTAGCAGAACACAGTTTTCGCCCTATGGGGATTTCTATAGTTAAGGACCCCAAGATGACTCACTTCGACGCGGTAAAAATTATAGCAGGGTGCACTTCACAAATACGAAAATCGAATATGTTTGAGAAGAAGGTACAAACTACAAAATATCTAGAAACCAAAAAATCCTGTCGGCGTATCTGCTCGTGACGTACACTTTGAAATCGCCTCCTACGGACGTGACCTGAACTGCAGCCGACTCACCCGGAAAGCCAGTTGCACAATACGGCGCATTTATACACGAACTGCAAAACCTTCACAAATCAAATCATACAGTCTCAAACCCGATACATTTCTACACCACACAGCACAATTTACATCTGGCTGACGCTCTTATCAGGCTTTCTACCCAGCCTTCAAGAATATTCGCTGCACTACTTTCTATACCCGCGTCATAGACTCCGGGGGTCGCCCATTAATACTGTGACCTGCTACCTCAACCGGTCTCTTTTCTCTCCCGGCCGCCATCTTGTGCCTGCATGCTCGCAACTCTCCTCTGGATCCTCCACGAAATCTTCAGTAAAATGGCAGAAAACAAGCGTCAGGAGCGGAGCTTCATCATGATCAAGCCCGACGGCGTCCAGCGCGGCCTTGTGGGCGAAGTCATCAAGCGCTTTGAGCAGAAGGGCTTCAAGCTGGTGGCCATGAAGTTCATGCAGGTAGAACACAGGCCACGAGGGTTTTAATTTTTAAAGGCATGTGGTTGCACGTGTAGTAGCCTGCCCTTTTACTCATTCTTACCACGTTTTTCTGCTATTAAACAAATCTACAAAATTTCCCGAAATTCGACGTGGGTATATTTGCTGGGTTTTGTCGGCGTTGGTTTCTTAGCTGTAGACTGTCATTTGTTACATTGCCAAGCAACCTCTTTGGCTTTAGCAATAATTTTCTGAAATTGATTTTGCCGGATGTCGAAAGCACATCAGTGGGATTTTATTCTAATATTTTGCACCTATATAGTGGAGGTAAAAGGGACTAATATATTGAATATCTTATTGCTTTACCTGTATGATTGGGTCAGGACGACTTGAAATGACAATGTATTATTGTTAAAGCTTTGTTTGAACGCAACAAGACTGGCAGGGCACGCCAATTGTGCCGAAAGGCATGGATGGGTGCGGTCAATCAAACAACCAATAAAATAGCATGTATCAAAGCTGTTGTACTTGTTTGCAGGCTACAGAGGAACACATGAAGAGCCACTACATTGACCTGGCGAAGAAGCCATTCTACGCTGGTCTGTGCAAGTACATGTCAACCTCCCCTGTTGTTCCAATGGTGAGATACATTTATGTTACATAGTCAAGTCCAATAATACTTGTAAAACAATTAAACCAACTCTATATCACAGATAGCTTTCCACATGTAAAATTTTCTTATTATCTTACCACACCAGTCAGTACATAATTGTTACAATGCCTCCATAACAATTTTTTTTAATGGTATGTGAGGAGCTGGACTAAGTACTAACTAACTAACTCACAAACACACTCTTACCCATGTTTGTTGTGTTGTTTTCAGGTGTGGGAAGGTCTGGATGTGGTGAGGACTGGACGTGTGATGCTGGGAGAGACCAACCCTGTAAGTCCTTTTTCATTTTTGCCATGCCTAGATCTAGAAGCAGACCAGAACACCGCCAATTTCCTGTTTACCTATACCTCACTTTATACATAGTATGCACTGTTAGACACAAAATGTATAATTTTGCATACTCGATAACGTTACATTACTTGCCTTTCATATTGCACCAATGTCACCATAAGATTGCTTGTAGTTAAGACCATGTTACATGTGATCCCTAGGGTTTTACTTCTTACTGGTAATCTTTTACTAATACATGCATATCATTATGACATGAAATTTTCCAGGCGGGCTCCCCTAGGATTGTCATGCCTCAGTTCCCTTAAGGCACTCAGCATGATATTACGTCAAACAAAATTGAGATGGGCCAAAAAATTCCGGCTGGCTAGAACACTAATCTTATCATACCTTTTTTCTCAGGCTGACTCCAAGCCTGGTACCATCAGGGGCGACTACTGTGTTGAAGTTGGCAGGTAGGTGTCAGCAGCAACATATTTTCCATTTTGAAATTGAAAGAAGGGTTAATGTTACCGTTTAATATCCTCTCCCATAGCTTTGTATCTCTCTTTCCAGCACCATTTCCCCCCCCTATTAGAGTTGTGTTTTAGTACCTCAGGCATAGCCCCGTCTTTTCAGTTGAAGGTTTGATGTTTTATTAGAAATCCATGTTGAAAGACAGGTTTTAATCTATAGGCCTTTAATGGGAAAACATATACTAGTATTAAGCTGTATTATGAAGTGTACATGATTGTACTTGACTGGTTTTTGTAGGAACCTTGTCCACGGTAGCGACTCCGTTGAGAGTGCGAAGAAGGAGATCGCCCTGTGGTTCACAGACAAGGAACTTGTGACCTACACCGCTGGCCAGTTCAGCTGGGTGTATGAAGACTAGGACCCCACCGTCTTACACAAGCCAAGTCACAGCCTAAGCAGACTCTAGGGAATTCATGTCCCCTACATTCCTGTAAGCGTAAAAAAGTGTCTTTATGTTTCTGTGACGTCCTGTCTGTCAAGTTGAATATGTAACGGAAAGATAAACCTTATCCTGTCTCTGTTTACTAAACCCAGGTGTGGAATTTGATCACCCACTGTGTAATGTGTGAGCAGACTAGTTCCGAGGTAGTCATGAAATGACAGCCTGAATTTCGATCCAGTCCAGGTCAGTTACAGTATCCAATGTGAGAAATTTCCACCAGACAAACCACATCTTGCCTTGGATCAAACTAGGATGGACCGTCTTCCCACTTTGCATAAAAATTTCAAGTCAGTCATTGCAGGAGTGTCATTAGTTTTGGTCATGTCCAAAATTGTGCAATGAATATCCAGCATTGATTTGTGCGTGTACTGGAGGGGTTTGTGTTGGGCCCCAGCTTGGTTTGTGCAGGACTAGGATATCATTAAATAAAGCTAGAATGCACCAGAGCTCCTTGTCATGTTGTTTTCTTGTAGCACTTTCCTTTGAACTGGTCTGAATGAAATGACAACTATTAATGCAAGGTTAAGTGTATGACAGTAAAATGTAAGTTAACACAATTTTTAAAGTGGAATGCCACCACTGACATTATATTAAGTAATCCATCAATGTGCACAGTGAAACTCAATTAGTTTTTAAATCCCGCTTCGTTGATCTAAAAATATATACTTAATATCAGACAAAGAACCTGTGTATGTGCCTAGCCACTGGCCCCATTGCTTCCCTCAATTACAACTTTCTATGCAGTGCAGATCCTAGCCCTGCCCTTGTCTTCCCTAATTGGGGAGCACTGATCATGAAAGAGCTTTAAATATGACACAAGCATGTGATTGCACAGTGTCCTTTATTTTATTACAAAATTCATAGCATTTCATGGTCATGGAATGATCACCAGTGAATAATCTTTAAAGATTAGTAAAAAAGATAAAAGTTATGAATATGATGGTAACTCTTGACCACTCAAATCTGTCATCTTAACATGATTTTTAGACACAAACAACAAGTTTACCATTAAACAATAGCTATAACAGCCACTTCAAAGATATTGAAAATGACTTTGGAATGGATCCTTTTTTTTTAAACTATAAATGCAAATGGCCCCAAATAGTTTAATATTTAATATTGTGACTAAATCTATATGACAAATGTGTACGTCTTTAAGTCCTGTTACCACATCTTACCGAGCATTTCGCCTTTTTTGACAACTTACAAGTCTGACAAAAATGTCACAATGACAACATTTTGATGGGAATAGTAAGACTTTCCAGGTATCATTCAGATGCACGTGTCAAGTGTCATATTAAGTGAACTAAAAGTGAGGTCTCAGCTTTCAAGTCAAACTTTGATGATCCTTGGTACCATTCTAATTAGTTTCCGATTGCTTCCATATTTCTAGTATAGACATCAAAACTGGTAATAAGAGATGAAATCAGGAGTGACTAAAAGAAAAGCCATCCTGAAAGAAGGCTGACTATTTTTACTCTTTAACTTTCATTCTCATTGCTTCTGAATTCACCGATATAGCATTCTCTTTGAATCATGATTTTGTATTTCACTTTGCAGCCATGAATATTTTTAAGTCACAGCTTCCAACCAAAATATTCACAATACTCAAGAGCGGTGATTTTAGTTTTGTGAACATACTCTGATGGTGTTAACATATTGTCAACTTCAGGAATTACAACACTAAATTCATTTTCGCAACAGGGAAAATCACGAGTTCACTGTATCTGAGTGAAACAATCATAGTAGCACAATGGAAGGCAGAACAAATGTACACAGTGGAATGAGTTTGTGGTGAGAACAGAAAATCTTCTAATTTACAGTAATCTGTTTGACCACATTGTCACATTAATGTCATGGATTATCTGTTACAATATACATGTTAAGAGGTAGCTGTATACATGGTATATATGTTGTGGCCATAAATGCATGATATCTCCTAATGATACAAATGCATGATATCTATTAATGATATAAACACATATATCCCATTTAAAAACTAACCACATGTTGTTGGCATAGACCTATCATTCAACAGTATAGTCACAACTTTTTTCACAAGGAACACATTTAAGACAAAACGGTTTTCCTTTCCTTGCATAATGCACATTTTATGACTCTAGTTCCTTTGCTACCACAAACTTTCCAGTTTGGGATAGGATATTGCACTTTGCCTTTATTCATAAATATTTGATTTATTTATCCAACACAATCACCACTTAAACATCACATTGGTTGTAGTACATGTACTAGTACACTACATGTATTTCATCTTCATGTAACATTGATTACATAGTTCAAAGACAGTGTAGAATTATTGGAGACAGACATTTATCATCAAACAGTAATTGTACAGACCAAGAACTGCACTAGGCCTGCTGTTGGTGATCAGACAGCCTGACTAAAATCATGCTCCACCTACATGTACTAACCCAACCAAGCACCCCCCCCCCCAATCTGTCTGACAATGAGAGACTGTAATACATGCTAGGCATAAGCCACTTCAACATAATCATAACAAGAGTCTGACCAAGGTGTGATACAAGAACAAAAGTTGGGTAAGGGTAAATCATGCTTAGGTGCAATGACAGTGGAAATTGGTTGCCAGGAGACATAAGTACCGTTAAGGACCTAAGTCACCAAAACAATGCATAATTTTTATCAGAGTCATAAAGTACTTCTGTTTTTATAATTATGTAATCAGTAAATCACTGCAATTTGCTAACTACGGTTGGTATCAATGTTGGACCAGACTTTGAAATCTCAAGAAGTGTAAATTTTTTTGGTCATCTTTTTTAAAACTCATATTTGTGTTCATTTCGAAAGGAGTGATGCAGGAATCTATTGTATGTTTATTGCTATTGTATGTTTTGATCCCTGCAAACACTTTTAGATTTTGTTTTACCAAAAAATTCATGTTTAGACATTGCAAGATATTTCAATGTCAACCCTTTTCAGTTCTCAAGAAAGTGCAAGTAACAACTTATGAGAGGGAATTTGATATGACGTATATACTTTTATCAGTCCCACACAGCCTCCTTTGGAACACCAGTAACAACTTAATATATCCAATGTTTTCAATGACATTGATTCAATACCATTTACACCTCTTACACATCTGCAATATATTTATTACTCCCCATTTGATTCAATTTGTTGGACGGTCGAAGCTTCACAAATTAACAATATTGGCTCAATATTGCACATATTTGCTATAATTGGTTCGATAATTTGAGTCAATAAGTAGATTAATTCAGAATTTGATATAACACTATTTCAGCTCTTGTACCAAGCAACTGATTGTTTTTGCCCTCCCTTGACTTTGTCTCGAGATGGAAGGATGCCTACTATTATTACTATCAGCAACTTTAGGAGGCAACAGAATATCAAGTATTGCCCGCATGGAATATCTCAACAAACTCCCTTTCAGGTATGTTTCAGCAGGGGTTATTTTCTTACTTCAAAGGACAGAGCCTAAACCTTTACTGCTGCTTGCAGGTGATGGCATCAGCTATCTTATTCACATCAGGTAAACCGAAGGGGCTTCCAGGAGGACTGCAGGCGTTCCGAGCGCGATGCCTGGGCGGTGGTTCGATCGGCTTCTGTGCTGGTGGTGGCTGGTCTCCTGAAGACAGAATAAAATACATGGGGTTCCGTATTAGGAAATTCCATCAAAATTTGTAATCAAAACAATCCAATCAAGATAGAAAAAATATCCATGAACCTAGAAATTAGGACATAACTGGAGAAAATTCTAGATGCATACATGTTGTATGTTTTTCTTTTGAAAACAAACTGCAATGCAGTTCTAAGTAAAAGCACACAAAGCAGATGTCAAGCAAGTAAGTGTACCATGAGTCATCCTCTTGAACTCGCCGGCACAACTTACCTGGTCCGAAAAGTGACATGGCCAGAGCAACGTCACTTGGGACGTCCCCCTTGGCATCCTGGACTTTCTCCTGCAGCAGGCTATAAGGGCTAGGGTCCTCGTTCCACCCTCGGGACCGACGTCTCTCCCTGGACATCGACAATGTGCTTGGCCGGGAACCGCTGTCACGTCTGTCCCTGGAGGAGTCGTCAGGTCCTTCCCTCTCCTGCTCGCCTGAGAGTTTTTCATCGGAATCAGGAAGCTGAAGTTTCCAGTCGATAATGGTGGACTTGGACTGTCTGATGGGATGTGACATGATGGGAGGTTCGACTTGGATATGTTCGGTTGTGGCGGCCCTGTGGAGCTCGTAGCGCGAGTCCAGGTCAGAGAACTGCTCCGAGGAAGATCTGGTGGGGCCAGCCTGCCTCTGTGGCGGGTCCTTTTGAGGCTGCTGAGGAGGACCCTGGGGTTGGCTGGGGCTTCCTTCACTGTTTGCCCGGCCCAGTTCATGTGACGAGGCACGCACTGGGTCCAGCTTGGACGAAGCAGTGCCTTCTGCGTAACGGGCCTGGTCTAGTTGTGACATGGCATGGACACTGACAGACTGAGGTGGGAGGGTGGTTCTGGCGTAACCTTGGTTGGGAGGGTGATGGCCTCTTCTGGAGCGGCTGCGACGCGACTGACGGCTGGTACGAGACTGCGTGTCGCGTCGAGGCTGGGAGTGCGCCAAGTGAGGGCCAGCCTGGGCATGCAAATGGTCCAGTAAAGGTCTGCTTCGGGAATGCCCTTGGTCTTGAGAGGGCGTGCTTTGGCCATGGGAAGGGTGCTCTTGAGCACGAGAGGCAGTTTTGGCATGAGCAGGATCAGGATCAAGGAGGGTACTACATTTAGTGTCAACTTCATCATGATGCATGTGCAGACTGTCCTGGCTCCGGAATCTGTCCCTAGCTTGGGCAGGATCTGACTGAAACTGTGAGGAGTCCTGCAAGTTTGGGACGCTGCCTAAGTCAACATAGTCCGGTAGCGGAGGGAGGCTGCCCATTGCATTGATGTCAATGTAGTCAGGTAGAGGAGGAAGTTCCCCCATTGACGTGATATAGTCAGGTAATGGAGGAAGCTCACCCATACTAGAGCTAGCATAGTCTGGTAGGGGAGGGAGCTCTCCCTTTTCAAGGATCTGCTTTGTTGTTGGGGACAAGGTTAAAGCTTGTTTCTTAGATTTTGGGAGAAGCTGTCCTTTACTTGGATGTTTCTTGCTCATAGACAAGGTTTGGCTTCCACTATCTTGAGAATGAGTGTAGCTCAGGCCGAGAGAAGACCCACTCCTGACTTGTAAGACTTCAGGCTCTTGTTCTATGTTGTAGTCAGACTCCGCCTGTGCTAGTACACGCTGGGCCTTCTTATTGTGGTGCTCTACCCTCTCATCAACTGATCTTTGTCTCTCCCTGGTGTCTAGTGTTCTGTGAGAACCTTGGTGACGATGTCGCTCAGCTGGTGCCGACTTGTGTCTTTGCCGGGCTCTGCCTTCTGCCTCTGCCTTCGCCCTCGCCTCTGCCTGCTGTCTCTTCTGCCTCCTGCTTGCCTTTGTATCCCGTGGTAGGGAAGTCGAAGTAGGCCATCTACTCAGGCTAGTGTGCTCTCCCAGTATCACAGTTGGTTCTGGAAGCTTCTGGTGTTCTTTGCTCTTAGTTTGAGAGGCAGACCCTTTCCTCTTAGTTTGAGCAGGAGCATGCTCAGCCCTTGCCCCTCCCCTTTTTTCGGCATGCTGCGGCACCGCCTTTCCTTGTGTTACTACTGCAGGGGTTTCCATGCCCATTGTCAGTTCTGACAACACCTGCTGCCTTGAGCGGGGACGTCTGACATTTGTGGAGGAAGCTTGAGCTGATGACACTTCTTTTTGTTGGCTGGTAGAACTTGGCAATGTCAAACCTGAACCCTCTGTACTGCTGCTCACCCTTTCTTGACTAGCCTGTTTCTGACCTGGACTTGGTTTAGCTCCCTTATCCGGCTTGGCATCACTTTTTTTCTGAACTGTCTCAGACACTTTACCATCTGTCAAATCTCTTTGTGACCTGTCGTCACTACTTTTTAATTGCGCTGCAGCTGTTTTTTCCGGTTGACTGTCAGCTTGAGCTTTCTTTGCAACATATTCATTTTTGTTGGGCTTTTCAACTAAGGAGTCACCTGTGGGGGGTTGTTCTTGGGATTTGCCAGTTTTCTGGGGTTGGGGGATTGCGTCGTCCTTCTCCGTTTGGCTCTTCTGCGGAGGCTGACAGTTGTCCTCGTCAGCACAGGTAATCTCTAACTTCTGGATCTGGTGTACTACATACTCCATCGCTTCCGGGGAGATAACTGCCCTGCAAAAGTCAACAGCACAACCAAAAGTCACAATAGAAGCTTCACAGTTCAGAAGAAATTCTTTGGGCATATTGGATTTAGATGTCAGAAAATGTGGTAATACAATTTATCTAAATGATAATTGTGGCCAGAATACAAGTCCTTGCCACAGAATTGACAATTTAATAATGATACAAGTGTTGTTGCATCTACAATTATTATTCTTTAGTTCAGATGCATCTATTTTATGTACAATTCATTTTGTACTTGGTACTTCTAGTACTAAGTAAGTAATCAAAAGGTGAGGCAGTAGGTATGTACAAAGTTTACAGGTACCTGCGATGTAACATGCAACACTGTAAGGCTGATCAATTTCTGGAATCAGATGAGCTCCTGGCTTGGTCATGGGCACTTCCTGGGGCTGTTCTGTTTTTGGAACATCTCGTTACCAAGTTTGGAACATTTTGGATTGCACAGAGTTTGGTCAGCACCAGAATCCACCGTTAGTGGTGAGGAATGATTACATATCATCAGGATTTATGTTATAATAGATACTAGCTGGTTTTGTTAGTAGTGTGGGATTTTGTACACTACTTCTTATTCCACCTTTGGTGCACAGCTGATTCTTAATGAGGCATGTGATTTTTAAAAAATCTTTTCCAGTGTTGGGATTAGATTTTGAGGGATAGAAAAGGACAGAGCTCACTCAGGGTACCTAATAGAGGAGTTTCAAGCTATGTTTAAAGCACATTTTTTATCATCAGAGTCTACCTATGATAGAAAAATTAGTCATGAATTTTGTTAATACATGTAGTAAGAGGTGGTCCAATAAGCTGATAGCACTAGTGGTTAAGTAGGCAAGAAAGACTGCAGAAATTGTTAGTGTCCTCTATATGAAGTTGTAAGTTATGAAGCAATTAAAGCAGCTTGTATGACAAGTCACCTTTCCTTTGGGGATGGGTAAGACTGTTCACACTCTGATGACTGACTGAGGCTGTCGTCATCAGTGGTGCAGGAGGTGATACTACTAGAGCGGTCCCGGGGAGGATGAAGCAGGCTGGGGCCCTGGTCTGACGACTGGCTCTCCCTGTCCTCACTCGAGTCGCGCTTGTAAGACCTTCTCTCTCTTTTTCTGAGTGGTATAACATTATCGATAACAATCATAAATCATTGTAGGTTTACAACTTTGCATACGAATAAGATTTGGTTCAGTGAGAGATAATATCTATGGACTTCATATAACTGCAAAATTAATCACTTCAACATAAAATCTGCTACTCTTACAAACAAGGTCTAGAGGTCTGTTGGTCAGCAGAACTTGACCTACAAAACCTGAATTTCTTTATAAAAATCTGATGCTCTGTTGACACGGAAAGTGTCAAGATTTCATTTTGCCATCAAGATAGTGAATGAATGAATGAAGTCAGGCTTGTGCATTGCCGAATCACCTGTCCTTTGCTGATGTGTAGGAGGATTTGTCACTCTCTGACGTCTGACTGATGATACTGATGCTGTCCTCATCAGTGGTACATGACGTCACACTGCTGGAGCGATCCCGCGGCACCGGCAGGCTCTGGGGCACAATCTGGGTACGATCCACCTGACGTTCCCGATTTTCACTGGGATCTCGCTTGTGTGATCTCTTGTCCCTTTTTCTAGAATAAGGAATTTTAGATGGAATCAAACCCAAGTTTTGAGGCAGTTGTAACTACAAACATTGCCCAACAAATAATAGCAAGGATTTATTGACTCATTTGCATCAATCTTGTCCTGACTATGTCTAACTTTCCTATTGAACTATCAAAAATTTTTCTTCACTTTGCTGTGTATCAATTAATAGTTTGTGGTTATAAACCTGTGGATCTTGAGATCTCACCAGTGTCACTGACGAAAGGTAGTGGATACGACTGACCATTTCCGAAATCATATCAAATTGCTTGAGTACTGAAGACTACTCATCAGGAGATTGAAGATACATAGGATGGATGTGTGCTTATGTCATATACATACACATACACATACACATACACATACACATACACATACACATACACATACACATACACATACACATACACATAAACATAAAGGTACAGTACCTGGCTGGGCTGGCTGTTTTAGTTTTCCCATGAGGAGATTTCTTCATCTTGAAGCCTCGTCTTATGTCCTCCAGCAGGTTGTCCACCATGCCTGGTGCTGCAGATGGACAAAAGCATCAGAGTAGGCAACCAACTAGGCAATTTCAGTAGGAAAATTTAACAGCGATCATCAAAGTACACCACCTGCACACACAAGTTACCACCTAGTAAAATTCAAACTATTTCTGTCTTGCACCTAACTTGCACTGGTTCATGCACACAATATATAAAAGTGCATGTCAGAGTTTGCTGCACTGATTGCTAACACTTGTAAGATCATTGTTTGCTAAAGAGCTGCTTGACGTATAACATTACTGCTCCAAAATAAGATTATTTTTCCTCTACCTTCTGTTTCTGTGGGAGAGGCCGGTGCGCTGAAGCGGCCAGGCGGTGGGGCGTCAGCCTTCATGGCCTTCCTCCTGGCCTCAAACTCCTCCCGCTCACGTCGCTTCTTCTCTGCCATGTCCTCCTGCAGACGCCGCTGGATGTTCTCCTGAGAACGGAAAATCTCACAACATTTAGCAACCCTCAGCCTATGTGCTCAGCCTATCATCTGTAAATACTGCAAAGATTTTGACATCAGTATGACCTTGATGGACACACCTTGTGAGCTGTCTTGACCCTCTCACAGAATGTCTTGAAGATTTGCAGACACTCCTCAAGTTGGAAGCTGTTGGGGTCCTCACAGAAGTGGACAGCCAGCTTCCTGGCTAGCTGCTTGATGGTGCCCAGCTCTTTCTGCAGCTCACACACACTCACCATGGCTCGCTAGGGGATGATAGATGTTAGAAGAGATGCCATATGCCATCCACATAGCATTGCTATAGAGCACGTGCAGTCAAGGACTGCGAGAAGGGATCACAACATCTTAACTTAGCTAGTATCTTTACCTGATGCCTTTATCCCAGTGTTCACATCACACTTCAGAGAAGCCATGTGACAAGTCTCACCAGGTCGGTCTACTGAAGACTAGAGTGACTAGTCGAAGTTGAGCACATTCATCTTTTTTTGTTTTACCTTTTAACATCTTAAGTTAGACAAACCCATTAAGGCATTCAAACACACAGCCTGCACAGCCATTCTGTAAAATGGGCTAAGTTCTTGTTACTGGTATGATTTATCCTCTCCAGTGTTAACCCTTATGCAATCATCCATGGCTAGTGTGATAGAAAGAAGAGCTACAGCGTTACCTCAACAAATGTTTGGAACTGCTCCTTAACATCATCCTCAGAGTTGGACAGCTGTTTGTGGAGACGGTGCAGTCCTGTCATCAGCTGCTGGATCTCACTCCCCAGGCCTTCCAGGGATAATCTAAAGAATCATCACAAACATTAGAATTACACAATATAGCTGTTGCTATAGCTGTCTTCATATAATGTCTATTCTGTAAAAAACCATTATGTAGGCGATAAGGAGGCTGTAGTCTTGATGGTAAAAGAACAAGTCAGAGTAATATCTGACCTTGCTGCTTCCTCTAGATGTTTCATGTCATCTGGGAAAGTCAAGATGGAAGGATCCTTCTCCTCCGCTTCCTACATGGACAGAAAACATAGAATCAAATAGACTGTATAGTGAGCAATCTGAGTTAAAGTATTGTTAATCGTTTTACCCATGCATACACCAATGATATTATAAGTTCCATTCAAGAGATGGTTACCTGATGGTTTCGAAACAAACAAAAAAGCATACGAAAGAATTCTTTCTTATCTCTTGTGTTTTTCCAGACTACAATTTCAAACCATGAACAAGAAAGCATTACTGCATGTTAATCATAAGCCCTGTGCTGGTACGAGAAATGCCACGTTACCTGCACTACAAAATGCATGAGGTTCATCTTTGGCTTGTTGGCTCTGGTGTCGACCAGGCGCAGAAGTGAGTGGAGCCGGAAGCCTGCAGCATTGCCAGCATACCCTCCCTGTACAAGGATGGAGTCTCCTTTTAGTTTATGATACATGCAACTTTGGTATCAACCTACCACATATACATGTAAGATACAAACTTCAAGGGTATGAATGCAAAGGAAGAAAGAAACTTAAGAAAGTCCATAGGGCATACTAAAAAAAGTAAAGAACATTTTGCACATCAGCTCTGGAACAGATGCAACATTTTATGATTCTTTTATTGCCTATTTCTTGCATAGTAATAAGGTACAGTTCTTAATGGAGTATTAGAAAAATTAAGTCCTTTTTTTGAGTTACAAAAAAAACACACCGTAAGATTTATCAGCTCAATATGACTGTTACTTCCACAGCTATTATGTCCTTTGATTTGGGAAAATGCAAATTACACAGAATCCAGCTTTTGATTTGAGAAAGAACAGCTGCAATGGTCTGATAAGGAAACTGAAACATTACAAGTACCTTGTGGCTATAAACATATTCAGAATGTTCCTTTCACCATGCACATGTAAATGTCAAAGGTATCTGTATCAGTAGTCATATGGTAGCACAGCACAGTATTATGTGTTCTGTTAATACATGGAATAACAGGAATAGAGTGAACTATAAATTTTGCACTTGTCACTTCAAGGATAAATAGCTGAGTTGATGCAACTCACAAAGTTGAGGAAGTTCCCAGTGAGGAGGATGAGCTGTAGGATCCGCTGGAGTTTCTTGTTCTCCAGTAGGTCCTGGCAGGCCTGCTGGACAGTACGGATGGACGGCTTCAGGAACGCCATGCTGGCAGAAAACTCCTCCTTCATCACCATGCCTTCCACACGCAGGCGATAACTGCACAGAGGAATGGGCAGGAAATGATGTGAATCTAATATCCATTTTGTGTTCAGTTCGTTTCATTTAAGTTTTAATTCAACCCTTTTTTTTTCACCATCTTGCCTTCCTGATACCTCTTGACATACCCAGCATGATAAGATTTAAAAAATGTACCTCATTACAAAAAATGTGCCCTCATTACATTGTGTTGTGGTGTATTCCTTTAATCAATCTCACATGAATGATGAATCCCTCTGGTTAAGGGGGCAGGTGTTCAGATTAATAAGAAGCTGATTATTTATGGTAATTATTGAAGAAATGTCCAATCACAAAATCCAATCATCACCAGAAGGCAACTGATGGCCAATGAATCAAGGATTTTATACTAAATGACTCATGAAAAAACTGACTCATGACTGAAAGATGTGGAATTTCCTTCACCTTGGAAGCTCTAACAGAAGGAGGAAGAATTTCTCCGCTGCTCCCAGTTTGGTCTTGTCACCTTCGTAGGATGTCAGAAGCTCAATCTGTGTTCAGACATGATGAGATTGAAATATCACTTCCACATTGCAAACATACAAAAAAGTCACAATTACTAGATTTAGTTTCAATGTAATGTACATGGTAGAAAGCAGGGTGCACCATAGTATTAGCTTATAGTAAGAATGATACACATTTGTACCTCTGTTTTCAGCATTGAGATACATATGACTTGAAGTCTAGCAGTGTGAAAATCAGCACCATGGACAGAGACCAAAAGGATGTAACATTTCACTTTGCAGATGCCCACCTTGTACAGTGATATGCAGTGTGAGCTCTTATTCAAAATACAGATTATACAGCATAGAAGATATTTCATATCATATTAGAGTTTGGAGATGCATGTACATACAATTACAGCCAAAACCCTTGCCAAGTGTAGGTATTGTTGGCCTGCACATGGCTGCCTGTCCCCTACTATAAACATCACATCACCTAACACACTCAGCATTTGCCTCATAAACGTACTGTCAACAGAGTGGCAGGCAGACTTTATGACTTTATTGCATGCATTATCTAACACAGGTACGTACTTCATGAGCCTGTGGCAGTAATCTCAGCAGTCCTTTCAGTCTCTCAGCACCCATTTTCTCAGGGTCACCTTGCTGTACCATGTCTATAATCTCTTCATGGGAGCTATAAATGGAAACAGAATTTGTTTTGCATGAGAGGGCTCTTCTCAAATCCTTCCTGGAAGACTTGCTTCTGGTTTATGCTTCATGTTCTGTTCAGCCTCAGTTTTCTATAAAAAATAACTCCCGGCTTAGCTGGTCATCCTCAGGCTTACATGGTTTTCTACAGAAAAAATCCTATTACATCCTAACTGTTCCATCTGTTTTCTTTAAAATCGAACTGAAGAAGAAGGATTACATTCTCCATTTGCTGATCCTCTGAAGTTGATTCTTGGATATCTGATTTTTTTTACCTCCTCAAAGATCTTCTCATCTTTTGTTCTGATTTCTTGGATATTGCCTTGGCCTTAAAGTCTTGGAATTTAAACCATGTGGTTAAAGGATTTTTATGAAGAATTAGTTGTTAAAGATCACTAATTTAAAACAGTAAACTGGTGTAAGTTAATGCAAAATATGTAAGATATTTAATCTTAGAAAATCATGGTGCTCAAAATGGTGCTCCAAATGTTCCAAGCTAAAAATTTTGTGTGTAATACAAAGCTATGTGTTCGTTAAGTTCTGCATATATATCATCATATGTGGAAGTGCATGATGTGTATAAAATATAAACTGGACAACATTTCTACCAACTCAGTGACTATGGGAAACACTGATCTGATATCCTGGGAATCTTGTCGCACCTAGTCCACCGCACACTCTAAGCAGCAGTAAACGACCTACCATTTGAACTGTCGAAGGTAGATGTTGATGTTCAGACTCCTCTTCCCCTCCAGAAGGTTGACCTGCAACAATTGTTTTGTCTCACCACCAGGCAAGTAATGTGTGAAGTTAGTAATGGGATGGCATGCGGTGTTATGTACCACTACCTGATGTACATGTAGGGGCACCTTGGAGCTGCCCCACTTTAATGACAGATAAGGTGAAATGTTGAAACTGTATTTGCTACTTTTATGGACAATAAGTAAGAAAAAATACTCCAATGATATTACCTCGAAGATAAAGACTTGATAAAAGTTAAAACACTCGTGCCCTGACATTAGACTTTACCATTTTAAGTACGAAGCCACTTTGAAAAGTCGGGAAAAAAGTGCCTTCTGCTTCTACATGCATCTCAAACAAGCTACCCTAATACTGTTGTATCATTATACTGCTATCTATCCATTATAGTGCATTATTTGCATTTCCAGAGATGAACCTGAGAACAGGGCTAACAAACCCAATGTGATCTGCTAACTATGACACTAAAATCTGTGAGATTGGCTTAAAACTTTGGGTCATGTCGTTTTGATATGGAATATGGCCATTACAAGTAGATTTGATAGATTACAAGTACATCAGCATATAGGTATTGAAAAGACAAGTTAAAGGTGATCCTCACCTCCTCCTGTTTTTTCTTCCTCTCTCTGGTGGGAAGTTCTGTTTGACGGAAGAGCTCCTCTGCTCGGGAGAAATCCGGCTCAATCCTCTCCTCCCACTCACGGATCTTTGTCCACACATTGTTCTTACCTGAAAGTCAAGTTAAGAATTGACAAATATAATTTTTCTAGCCTTAAGAAGTCACAAAAAGCAAGACGTGATATGACAATGCACATGTTAAGGACACAAATGTAAAAATATTCACAAATGTAGCTTTTCCTCTTTTAGATATCTATGCAATCTGTATGCAATACATCTTTGCAGTATTGTCTTTAATGAAAATAATGGTTGTGGAAAGTGGCTACTTTCAAGAGATCTAACAGGGATATACTAAACCTCACCTGACATGGCATGTTGTGGGATCTTAACCCAGTTGACATGCTTGAGTTTCCCGGCTGGTTTGGGCACATTTGGGTGCACCGTTTCCTCCTTCCGCTCGATGAACGCCACTGGGATGCTCACACGTCCGGGGGGTGGGGCCGGCACAGGGGG